TATTACCAAAAGCATCATAGCAAGGGTAGTTTAATGGGTCAAACAATTAGGCACTTTGACTCTTTCTCCATTGAGGACATAATAAGTGGGGGCAGTCTAGGTCCATTAGGTATTGGTGGAACCTTTAGGGATTGTACTCATACTGACCATATATTCAGTACTGATAGGGAAGGGAAGCTCAATAAAAGAAGAACTATYAGCAGCATTGCAAGGACTAAGGAACATAATTATAGAAATATWGGAGATTCAAGCAACTAAATGACTCAAAATTAGGAGCTGAACCCATGGCTGTACAAGAATATCATGAACGAGATTAAAATGCTGAAAAGGAAATCAGTTATAAGTGTAAAATGGGTACAAATGTCAGCCAAAGGGATGGCTGATACTCTTACCAAACCAAGGGGTAAACCGAGGGCAATTATTTGGGGGTCAGGTGGAAAAGGGTTGTAACACTGGACCATACATCATCTCTATGTCTATTGGTGGTCACACTGGACCATACATTTCTGATTCTATAGCCATTGGCTCCTTCCATGCCATGAAGAGTGGGATTCTCACCTCAGCAGCAGCTGGAAACTTTGGACCTTCTGCTGGTACTGTAAGTAATTATGCTCCAKGGATTCTCACTGTAGCCGCAAGAACTACTGATCGAGAGTTCAGGAACAAAGTTGTTCTGGGGAATGGCAAGTCTGTATATGTAAGTCGTTCCATCCATCTCCCTTTCTTCATTATTGATCACTTGTAACCTGTAACCATTTATCAGCTAGCTTTGATTAATTTCATTTGTTTTCTCTACAATGTGTAGGGAGTTGTAATTGACAGTGTCTCCAAACAAAAGTTTCTATCCTCTTATAAAGGGTGCTGATGCTGTTCTTAATACATCTCAATACACAGCTTATGCAAGGCAACTGACTCTTCTCCCGTGCGTTAATTAATTATATTACTCCTTTCTTTTGTTAATTACAAAAAGTGTTCAGTACCTCTGATTTCATGAACAAATCTGTTTTGGTTTCTTCATTCCAACCTAACAACTTCAATGGCATTCACAACAATGCTGCAATATGTCTTGACTACAGTAACTGTTACAAAGATTCATTGGACCCCAAGAAGGTGAAAGGAAAGATTGTATACTACGACAACTTTTATGATGCACCCGATTACAATGTGAAGAAAATGGGAGGGGTTGGAACCATACTAGAATCGAATTTCGGACCTTTTGATTA